GCATGAAATCCAGGCTTTCAGGTGGGTTTAGGGGAAGCCCTTACCCTCACCCAATGCAAAGCACTATCCTCAAAGCAACCCTAAATTCTACCAAATGGAGATTCATTTTCTTTAAGCAGCATGCACACATACACACACACATACACTTGAGTGTCTAGCAGTGAGCCACACCTGTGTAAAATGGTTAATCAAATTGCTTCACACCAGGGTGTGTGCAGGTTTTAACCTTGTGGCACAGGCCTTGTGCCCATTTTAGAGGTTAGGAAAGTAAGGCCAGAGGAGTGAAATGGCTTATTTCAGGAAGGTAACAAGTGTCTAGTATCTGGTCTCAGATGGCATAGGGCCAATGAGATAAGACCAGGCAGGCATGCAGATGGTTGTGCACATTCCTCAGGGAAAGCCCTAGAGAGGTGGGCAGGTGGGGCACTAAATTTCTGACCACATCATGGACATTTTACCTCAATGTCCCAGAGACCTTTCAAAAGTAGCATGCCCAAGTAGTCACATCATCTTTCCCCAGGTCTGCCCCTCGCCCGATGTGCCCGCCTCAGTGCATGGCATCTCTACCTTCCCGGGTGCTACCCGTGCCTCCCTTCCCTCCCTCACCTCCACACCTGCCCACACATCATGTGTTGTCCTTTTTGTCCCTCGGATTCTCAAAACCAGTCATGGGTCAAGCACCAGCCACGTCCAGTGTTGGGAATGTCACAATGAAAAGACAAATGAAAGCCCTTGTCCTTCAACTAAGGAATTGTCAAATGTAATAAGCCGACTGCTACACGGAGCTACAGAAAAGTGCAGGAGTTGGAGGGGGACCTCAGTGTGTGACTCGGGGAAGGTAGCACTGGGGCCGAGACATCAAAGTGGGGGAAGGCCTGTTCCAGATAGAAGGCACATGGAGGGCAGAATCTCCAGGGCTGGAGCGGGTACTTGGTGACAAGGAAGCCAATGAGGCACTCAGATTCCGCCCACAAGCAGCAGGAGGCAGGGAATAATTTTGGGCAGGAGAGGGACTTGTGTTCTAGAAAGATAATCTGAGCACCAAGTAAGGACAGGACCAGTGGGAAGGCACTAGTGGGGCAATCCAGGGGAGGTGCATTGAAGTTGGCCAGACAGTGGGTGGAGAGGAGAGAGAATGGAGAGGGGGCAGCCCTGGAATGTCCGGGAGGGCTTCTCTGGCTGGAAGACATCCACTGCAAGGTGTCTGAACACTGTGAGTGCAAAATGCTTTGTCACCATGACAACGAGAAGGTAGTGGCAGGGGCCTGGCACGCCCGACCACCTTACCCTTGAGATCTTCCTCCCGAGACAGCAAGCTCCTTTTCAGTCTGCAAAGCCCATTTCCCTTCTGAGAATGAACGTGACCTAGTGAGCAGTTGGCTGTGGGGATGAGTGAGGTCAAGAATGCCTGAAGGGGTGACCGTCACCCAGACAACCAACCAGGGGGAGGGAGAGCAGTGTTTCTGGGGTTCAGGGAAGAAAGATGATTCCATCCACTAAAGGCCTCCACGTTTCGTAAACTACAGAAATGCAAACAATGCAGACAGCTAGAGTAAACAGTAGCTCCCCATGATCTTGTCCCCCAAAGGTAATTTCTTACTAGTGGTGGAATTGGGGGCAGGTTGACCTCTCCGTGCGCTCAGTTTTCTCTTCTGTACAATGGCGATACCAGTCCCGCCCTCAGGGGAAGTGTTAAAGGAATGTCGTATCTGCAAGTGCGGAGGGCTGTGCTGGCACATGGAAAGTGCTAAATGAGCATTCGCTCTTATTGTTATAACAGGATGTATCAATATAAGCAGAATTTGAGGGTCAAAGTCATGCACATTTTTTTGTTATTGCCGTGTGAGTGCCTGTTCTCCACATCCTTGCCAACACTGGGAATTATCATACTGTTCTAATACTTGCTCATCTGGCGGGGGGACAGTTCTATGCTCCGTGGCTCCAGTCACCCTCCCCAGTGTCGGGTGTGGTCTGGGTTTGAGGGCTCAGGTCCACTAGGACTGGAACACAGGGGCGCTGTCAGGGAGGAAGGGGGAACACAGAGTGGATCCGAAGCCCCCAGGTGCACAGCTGTCTGGAGGAGAGAGCACAACCTTTGAGCAGGATGGGCCTGACGCTGTGACTTCCCCTGGGCCTTTTTCAGTGTCCTCATTGCCCCACACCATGCTCCAACTGTTCCGTCTACCTGATGGGCCACGGTCACCCATACTTTGACCTTTGCACAGGTCCCTCTGCCCTGGGTGCCCTACTCCTACTCCTACTCCTGGGCTGGCAAGCTCCTACTCAATCTACAAAGCCCATTTCAGCTCACATGAACAACCCCCCACCAGCCCAGGGTGGCCATGAGAGGCCACACTCTGCCAGAATGTGGAGGGGTCCCTTGAGTTCACAGACAATGCCAAGGTCGTCCTTCTGTTGGCCATGCTGAACTTGGGGACGGAGCCATAGGATGAGACATCAAGCCCCAGGAGCCACTGAATGACACAAATCTTCCCTGTGCTGTGAGTCAGGGCTGGGGTGGTGGGCAGTGTTCTCAGCCTTGGGCATCAAGGAGGGCTGCATAGGCCTTAGAGCAGGAGCAGCAGTTTGCCAGGCAGGGGAAGACGGAACCTGGGTAGGGAGGTGGGTGACAGCCTGGTGTGCTCAATGGGTAGACGCTAATGTGGCAGGAGCACTGAGAGGTGATGCTGGCCAGAAGGGCGGGGGCCTGTTGGGACAAGCATCATCCTGGAGGGCAGGCCAAGGGCATGCACAGTTCCAGATGGCCATGCAGAACCAGTGAAGGTGTTCTCAGGCTGTGAAGGCTCTGGGCTGAGGGACAGGTTGGAGGCCAGGAAGGAGGCCCATGGGGAGCAGAGAGGTCAGGGCTCAGCGTGGCGGTGGGAGAGGGGGGATAGAGAGATGGGAGGGAAAGGGTGGGGAGAGCTGCAAAGATGCGCCAGTTTACCCCTCACCTCTCGTGCCAGCCCCCCTCGCCCCTCTACACCAGAACCTGGGCCTGGCCATTCCCTGCTGACTCAGTGATCAACAGAGGCAGCTCCCCAGAAACCACCCAGGCCAGCCCTCATCCCCCTGTACCACAAAGAGGACCAGGACCCTGTCACAGTGGGATATGGCTCTAAATCCTGCCCAGGTGGGCCCGGAGAGGATTTGCTGAGAAATCATGAATTCCGTACAAAACAAGGAACAAAGGACAAGCAGGTTTGGAGCCCAGGGAGGTGACAGCGTCTTCTCCATGAATGTGCCCCAGGGCCATACAGGGACATCCAGGGGATGGAGTAAGCTTCCCCCTCTCTTAGCAGTTCTCCTGCATTCAGTTAGGTTTTTCCTCAGTTTCTCAGGAAAATTCCTTTTGGAAAATGGCATTAGTGGTTTAAAGGGCTTTGCCTGCAGCCAGCTGTGGCATGGAGCCCGATAGAGGGCCAGGTCTCAGAAGCAGGGGTGTGGTGGGGACAGCCGGGGCTCAGGGACCCAGGCCACCAGGACATTCCTGCCTGTGGGGGGCTTCTGGGGCTTCAGGCTGGGGGGTCTGAGAGCAGGGTCCAGGCTCTGGTGTCAGCACTTCTGCCCTCTGCCTTGGGAAAGTAGCATGGCCCCCCGACAGAGACAGGCCTGGGCTCAGCCAGACCTGGGCTCCTGCACAATCACTGGGCCACCTGCTGCTGTGTGGCCTTGAAGCCTCAGTTTCCTCATTTATTGACTGGACTCATGATCCTCCCTCCCTCCCTCCCAGGCTGTTGTGAGGATCAAATAAGGCAGTGACAGCCAGGCCAGCTGCCCACTGCCCGGCCTGTGGACAGCAACTAACCTACAGGACTTCCCTCCCCACCCCTCCCATCCCTCGCCGAAGGGTGCTGGCACTGCCCCAGGGGAGTCTGCAAGACCCCCATGTGCTGCTCCAACAGTCCACCTTGCCAGTGGCTGACACCATTATCTCCATGCCCCAAGGCCGGAGGGTGTCTGGGGCTGCTGACAGCACAGAAGAGGAGGTGTGCACTCTGGCCTCGCTGACCTCGGCCCAGCGCCTGCCCCAAGCGCTGTGCTGCAGGCTGGGGGGCCAGGGCCATGCCGGCCAGGGGAAGGAAAAAGCCAGTTCCTGGACCAGGAACAGGAAGGCAGGGGGAGCGCAGCAGAGGCCAGAATGACAGCGCTTCCTGCTGCGGGAAGGGAAGGACAGCAGAGACAGACAACAGCCGGGCAGGAAGGATGCACCTTCTTCAGGGCTGCAGGTGGGGGCTGGGCAGTCATGCAACCTGTGGACGTGGCAGCCTTCAGTCCCGAATCTGCCCAACTGCTGAGCAGTCTGGGATTCACACAGTCACTAGGGAGGCTCTCCTTTTTTAAAAAATAGAAGCATCTTTTCAAAAGGAACGAAAGGATCTGACACAGTTCCAACCCAAAGGAAGACCCAGCGGTTCCATCCATTCATCCATCCATCCATCCATCCATCTATCCGTTTATCCATCCTTCCATTCATCCATTCACCCACCCATCCATCCATCCATTTATCTATCCTTCCACCCATCTGCCAATCCATCCAACTATTCTTCCGTCCATCCAGCCATTCATCCATCCATCCATCCATCCATCCATCTATCCGTTTATCCATCCTTCCATTCATCCATTCACCCACCCATCCATCCATCCTTCCATCCACCCACCCATTTATTTATTCAACAAGTATTTATTGAGTCTTAACTCCCAGGTGCTGAGCTGGGCATGAAGTGGGAACTATCTTGGTCCTCGCCCCATTGAAACTTTTGGATAAACATTCATACATACATACATAAAAATAATTACAGATGGGACAAGAAGAATGAAGTAAGAAACCAGGAGGCCAAGATGCAGCATAAAGGAGGACTAGGTTTTGTAAGGGATGAGATGGTCATGTCTAGGCTGAGGCCTGAAGGTGAGAAGCAGCCATGCAGAACATAGGAAAGAAGCATATCAGGAAGAGAGGTGTCTGCAAAGGCCCAGGGTAGGAAGGAGATGTGTCTGGCATGTTGCAGAACAGTCTGGAGGCTGTGGTGGCCGAAGAATGTGAACAAGAGGTGAGAGTGGACCGAGAGGGTGTGGAGAGATGGGCAGGGGCTGGGGCTGGGCCTGGTTTAGGAGTCTGTATTTTCCTGGAAGTGCAGTGGGAAGTCATTGATGGGATTTAAGCATGAGCGTGACATGGCCTCTTTGTGTTTTTAAAATGTCAGTAACAACTGCAAGGATGAGGCCTGGAGGAGGGCAGATGCGGGTCCAAGAGACTACTTTGGGGCATGTGCAGCTGTGCAGGCCCCCAGCAGGAGAACAGGCTGCCTCTGAGATGCATCCACCTGGCAGGTTTTGATCTTGGATGGACGGGCTGGGGAGAGAAGCAGCCGTCCACAGCCACTCCCATCTGGGGAGATAGGAGCTGTCAAGAGAGGAGCTTTTGGCAGGGCTGGAGGAGATGTGAGTCTGGAGTCTAGCATTGGAAATAGAGAACTTGGGGTGTCTGTGGGGTGTCCAAGTCCAGTGGGCAGGTGGATACTTCAGGCTGAAGTTGGTAGGAGTGCTCTGGGCGGGAGACAGAGACTTTGGAGGCATATGAACCCTTACTAGAGAGAACGGTGGAGGAGAGAGAGAGGAGCAGCAGCATTTAGTGTTGGGCAGAGGGAAAGGAGGAAGATGGGGGTGAGAGGCAAGGACAGCTGTGCTCCCAGCCCTGGAGTGCCCACGGGGTCTACAGTGTGCAGATCGTGGGAGGCCTGGCCAGTCCTGACTGCATGAAGTGGGGCTGCACCCCAGTGGGTGAACAAGTGTATACGGGGAGGAGGGCAGTGAGTGGCGCTTTGCCTATGAAGGCAGATGGGAAAAGAGGCAGGGGCTGGAAGCGGGACCAAGGAATTGTTTTGTTTTGTCTCAAAGATGGGAGATGATTCCACAGGGAAAGATTGGTGATCAGAAGAGATAGAAATTATCTGCAGGAATCAGGTCTGGGTGGCTTGGGATCCTGGGCACAATGGAGGGCTGGATCAGAAGGCTTCTAAGGTGGGTGCGGAGTTTGGATGTGGGAAGATGAGGTGTCTCCGTCTGAGGGCCTTGCTTTGTGAGTGCTGAGAGAGAGGGCTGAGGAGTGCTCTGCACAGCGTTCATGAGGGCCCATGGAAGGTCTGCAGACAGGAGACTAACAGAACACAGCCAGTGGGGGGCTTTGTGCTGTAGTGTTGAGCTGCTTGGGACGTGGTGGTGGTGCAGGGTTGGAATAGAGGGCAAGGGAGCAGCAGAGCGATGGGCCATGGACTCCCCTGCACCAGGACAGGGCAGCAGCAGGGGGACGTTGATGGATGGGGAGGAAGCAGCGGGGACTTTCGATGAGGCTGAAGGATTTAGCAGTGGTGGAACAAGAACATCTGAGCAAGGGGAGGAGGAGGGGAAGAGAGAAACGCAAGAAGACAGGCACTGAGTGATGGTGCAGCTTCTGGTGATGACCAGGTCCAGGGCGTGCTCACAGAAGTGAGTGGCTGATGGGGAGAGGAGGGGAGCCCAGCCTCAAAGGCTAGGGGGCTGGTGAGTCATCTGGGTGGATGTTGAAGTCATGGAGAATGGCAGGAGTTGAGGTGGGCAGGGGAGTGGGGAGCCAGGAGCTATGATCAGCAGAGAATGAGAGGAAGTGACCAGGAGACCAGCTGATGCCATCAAAGAGTTTGAGCCTTGGGCCAAGCCCGTGGTGCACTCGGGAGAGTGCGGTGCTGGGAGCGCAGCAGCGCTCCCGCCACGGGTTCGGATCCTACATAGGGATGACCTGTGCGCTCACAATGCTCACTGGCTGAGCACGGTGCGGCCGGTCTCAAAAAGGACAAAAAAAAAGAAAACAGTTTGAGCCTCAAGGGGGTTACTGTAGGGAGGGGAGGTGGCCACAAGGAGTTCTTCCCTCAGGAATGTGGGGTTCCAGTGACCTCCCAGGAACAGTGGTGTCCTCTCAAAGCCAAGTTTCAGATAAAGTAAGAGAGAACATTCAGAGGAGACATTGAGGTCTGCAGACAAGTTTGCCGATCACGCAGGGCCTAGAGGAAGGATAGTGAAAGGAGAGGGATAGTGGGGTAAGTCAGGGCATGTGGTGACAAAGGAGAGCTTGCACAGTTGGGTAAAAGGGGTTGGCAAGAACAACGTCTAGTTCTGTTTAGCACAATGATTCAGATGCCTCTTTTAGTGGTATGCTGCCTCTAGTGAGGAAGCTCCTACGGGCTGCATTGCCCCATCCACCCACCCACCCACTCACCCATCCATCCATCTATCCATCCACCCATCTACCCACCCACCCACTTGTTCAGTTGATGACCCGTCATTCGGCTATCCTTTTTCCATTCATCATCCATGCCCTGAATCTTTGTTGCACATCTCCTCTGTTCTGTGCTCAGGAAGATGAATAAAATACAGCCTCTGTTCAGGAGTGACCAGAAAACCACGATGCAGTCTGATAAGCATTCTAACAGCTAGAGCCCGGAGGAGGACGAGGTCGTTGCTGCCTGAGTAACAGTGACTGCTCCACAGGGAAGGGACATGTGAACTAGACCCCAAAGAGGGGGTTCCGTGGAAGGGAAAGGAGTAGGGATGTTCCAGGCAAAGGGACAAGTAAAACAAAGGCTTCAAGTTATGGGAACACCTGGCACTTTGGGACAACGGTGACATGCCCGTCCGAAGTTGAAGCTGGAGAGACAGGGAGCAGTCAGAAGGTGGAAGCCCTGCGTGCCCTGCTTTATCTTGGAAGCAGAAGGGAGCCACCAAAGGAAGGTGGCCTGACAACCGCCACAGCTCCATAGCTGGCGGTTGGCAGGGGTGTGCCTTGGGTGTGCACTCCAGAGTACGGGAGGCACGCGCCCCCCAGGACCCCAGTGCAACACCCCAGACCTCACTGTGGGGCTGTTCCGTCTACAACAGCAACGTAGGCATGGGGCTGGGGCAGGTGGGTGCTGGCCACGCAGCTTTCCTCTTCTGCCCACACACCAGCCTCGGGCCTGATCTCAACTGGGTCCCTCAGGAACGCACAGTTCTTTCAGCCCCACAAGTCCAGACCCACACTCATCGTCTCCCCAGCTGTCTGCCAGGCATTGGCCTTGTTTGCTTTTCACTGCCACTTCTTCGTCAAAGCCCAGCTCAAAGGTGCTGTCCCAGGGATTCCTTCCCGGCCCTTCACTGCCCTCAGGGGAGCCTCCTCTCTGTGGAGCTCCTCCAGCCCCTGACCCTCTCCCCAGCAGCCTCGGGGCTGCAGGATAGCGGGGTGCTGAGTGCCAAGGCCTTGCTGATGTGCACAAGAGAGCTGGATACCTGCCTCAGGTGAGGAGGCTGAAGAACCCAGGGTCACCTCTCACCTCAGGGCCCAGAGCAGGGCCAAGGGACAGGCAGCTGGCCTGTGTGCAAGGAGGAGGCCGCTGGGTTCAGAAGCAAGGACTTTGCAGCAGTCACAGTAGCCATCCAGGTGAGGGGCTGACTTCTGAGGGCAACAGCACAGTCTGGCTGAAGGACCTCAGTTTCCCTGTCTATACAAAGGGACTAGAAGCTTGTAAGAGCCTTCTAGCTCTGACCCATGGTACAGTGATGCCTAGAAGGGGTTGGCCAGGAAGGAGGGAGGAATAGAAAAGGGAGAGGCCAGTGGGCGATGACTGCTGTCTGTGTCATCCGCGTGATGCTGAAATGAGAGTTTTGCGTGTGGAGCATGCCATCCTGGTGCTGCTTCCTAGGGTGACTTGGGGTCAGGGTGGTATAGATCCAACTATGGTGGGGGGCCCCCACCTCCATTAGCTGCAGGTCGGGGCTCCGGAACCTCAGGGAGCTGGGCTGGGGAGAGTAGAGGAGCCAGACTTCTGCTCCCTCAAACCCTGCAGGCCTTTGGGACTGGAAGGGCTGCAGGTTAGAGAGTGGGCCATGCCCCCCCAGGAGGACAGGGACTTGCAGGGAGGGACAGGACGCAGTGTTGGGCTTCTGGCCACACAGTCCTCCCTTCCTGTTGTCTCAGGATGATCCTGGCAGGATGCATCTGCCAAAGTTCCAGACCCAGACCTCCCCTGAGGCCTGCTCCTACCCCCACCGGGATCCCAACACACACACACATGCATGCACATGCTAACATGTCAGGGATGCACAAACATACATGCTTGCACACACAAATCCACACATGCCACTCAGACATAGACCCACATAGACTCACGCACAAATGCACACAGACTCATACACCTAGGCTCACAGATACAGACAGACACAGACCCACACCTGTCAACACGCACATGCACACATACACACACTTGCATGCACGCACACGCACGCACCCCCATCCCTCTGGGAAGAGGGTGGTGGCAGCAGGCTGGGGTCCTACAGGGCAGAGGGTCCCAGCCCCAATCAGCCTACAGTCATTTAGGGCCAAGGATGGGTTTTCGACTGGGGAGGCAGGTTTACTTACGTACCTAAGGAAGAGCCCTGTGGGAAGAACGAGGGTGCAGGGAGGCCAGGCAGAGAGAGCCCAGAAGAGGCTGGGGCAGCCAGTGGGGCCTGTGGGGGTGGAGAGAAGCTTATGGAGCTGAAGGACGCTTGCAAGGTAGACTCCACAGACCTGAGAGAGGGCAAGGTCACAGGCAGAGAGCAGGCTGGGAGGCCAGGCCTGAGTGTGTCTGGGGAGGGCCTGGGATGTGCAGGACCCCCTCCAGCAAGTATAGGTCTGGAGTTTAGGAGGGTGGGGGCCTTTAGGCAGAGCTTTGGGGGTCACAGTGCCAATGGGCAATGAGCCTGTGGTCTTCCCCTTCATGCCAGCAGTTCAGCTCATTCAGGGCCAGAGGTCAGAGTTCAGTCCCGGCTGCAATCAGGGCTCACTTGGGGCAGGGCTCTGTCAGGGATAGGTGGCCCAGGGGCAGAGGCAGGAGTCAGCCTGTGGTGGAAGTTACCAGTTGTCTTGGAGCCTTTGGGTTGGTGCTGCTCAGGACACTCATGGTGAGATCAAGCCGTGCCATGCCAGCTGAGAGCCTGACTGCCCTGCCCTGGGCCAGGGTCTGCTCCCAGAGGCAGAGAAGGCCTGACAGCACCTGATCAACGTGGTCCTGTGAACGTTCGGCCTCACTAACCCTGTCTCCCACCTCAGGTCTGGCCAGCAGCTACTCCATGACTCCCCCAACCCTGAACATCACAGAGGAGGCATATGTCATTGATACCCGTGACAGCCTGTCCATCTCCTGCAGGTACTGGGCCCCTCCCACATGGCAGGCCAAGAAGGCTACAGAAAGCTGAGGAGGCAGGGGGTGGTCGCTGAGGACCCCAAAGGCAGTCCCTTCTCAGAGGAGTGGCCTCAAGACTGAGTGGGGCTCCCAGGGTATGGGTGCCTGGAGGCCCTGCAGATGTAGGCACCCTGCACTCACTTGACCTCACCCACACCTACCCCTCGTCATTTTACATGGAACACGGATCACCCTGCACCCTGCCCTCTCACCCCACACTGACCCCAGGTCACCCACACTTACTCACATTCACCTCCAGGTCACCCTGCAAGGATCTCCGGTCACCTGCACCCACTCCCAGCCACCCTTCACTAGCCCCAAGCCCACCCACTCAGGCCCCAGAGATGGTATGCTCTCTGCAACCCAGCTATGATCTCTGCTGGCCAGCATCCCCCAGAGCCAGGCAGAGGCCCCACGGGTACTCAAGGAGTGCCCTGCCCTGATCTGCATCTATGGTGTGTGCCCTAACCCTGGGCTATCCTGTCCCTCAGTGAGACAAGCGATGGGTAAGGCTCAGACTTGAGGGAGGCTTCTCAGGGACTGTCCCCTTGGGCTGCAGCTGGGGCCCCTCCTGACTCTTGCATCCTCTGCCAGGGGGCAGCACCCCCTTGAGTGGGCCTGGCCAGGGGCCCAGGAGGTACCAGCCACAGGGGAGAAGGATGGTGAGGACACAGGGGTTGTGCGAGACTGCGAGGGCACAGACGCCAGGCCCTACTGCAAGGTGCTGCTGCTGCACGAGGCTTATGCCAACAACACAGGCAACTACCGCTGCTACTACAAGTACATCAAGGCCCGCATCGAGGGCACCACAGCCGCCAGCACCTACGTGTTCGTGAGAGGTGCGGCTGCTGGGGCAATTGGGGCAGGCCAGGCCCGGGCAGGGTCCTAGAGGGGGCAGCTTGCACCTGCACTCCCACCCCCAGCCTGCTGTTGTTGGGCTGGCAGGAGAAGAGAAGGGGTCCTCACCCCATTCTAGAGGAACAGCACCACCCAGCCCCATGGGGCTGCCCGCCACCCCCACCTGAGGCAGAGACTCCCTGAGTCCCAGTTCCCCCCTGCAATGCTTGCCCCCTCTCCTCAGACTTCGAGCAGCCATTCATCAACAAGCCTGACACACTCCTAGTCAACAGGAAGGACTCTATGTGGGTGCCCTGCTTGGTGTCCATCCCTGGCCTCAATGTCACACTGCGCTCGGTATGACCCCCACCCCCAACCCTAGAATCCGGCCCTCCTGTCCCATCCCTGGGTCTGACTGGGAGAAAGGTGGCATCCAGGCACTGATGGTCATCATATTCCCACAGCAAAGCTTGGTGCTGTGGCCCGACGGGCAGGAGGTGGTGTGGGATGACCAGCGGGGCATGCGGGTGCCCACGCCGCTGCTGCGTGATGCCCTGTACCTGCAGTGCGAGACCACCTGGGGCGGCCAGGACTTCCTTTCCAACCCCTTCGTTGTGCACATCACAGGTAGGAACCATCCCTGGCCCCTCTCTCAGTAACCACTCCCTGTGTGCCAGGAGGAGGACAGGGAACACCCCCCTCCCCAATTCCCAATGATGGTGCTGTTAGTGCAGTGGCTGGTCTCAGTGGGCGTCCTGTGCCCTGCACTCTGTGTGCAGTGTGTCCCTGTGTGCATTGTCCTGTGAGGGGCATGAGATTCACTGTGCATTTCTCACCAGGCAATGAGCTCTATGACATCCAGCTGTTCCCCAAGAAGTCACTGGAGCTGTTGGTTGGGGAGAAGCTGGTCCTGAACTGCACTGTGTGGGCCGAGTTCAACTCAGGAGTCACCTTCAACTGGGACTATCCAGGGAAGCAGGTGAGATCAGCAGCCCCACCAGTGTACCTTTGTCTTGCCATACCTGCCCTGTCCCCAGCAGCCCCTCTCACTGCCCACAACTACCTGTGCCCAGCACAGACCCAGCCCTGCCCCAGGAGCCCTAGTGTGATGGAGAAATTTTCCACCCCAAGGAATACTCTGGGTCTGGGTCCAAGGCTTCCAGAGCCACCACTGGCTGAGCTGGGGTGTGTGCCTTCCTTCAGTGGGTCAGTTCTACCAGAGCCCACCTGCTGACCCTGGGCTTCCCCTGGGTGCGGGCAGGCAGAGCGGGGTAAGTGGGTGCCCGAGCGGCGCTCCCAGCAGACTCACACAGAGCTCTCCAGCATCCTGACCATCCACAACGTCAGCCAGCAAGACCTGGGCCCATACGAGTGTGAGGCCAACAATGGTGTCCAGCGATTCCAGGAGAGCACCGAGGTCATTGTGCACGGTATGGCCTAGGGTCAGGGTCATTGTGCCCAGCATGGCCTGGGGTGGGTCAGGCATCATCAAGCCTGGGGAGCAGGGGTCCTTGTGCAGTGTGGGTGCGGGGTCAGAGATCATGGTGCACCTGAGCAGTAGGGAGTCCAGCCAGCTGGAAGAGAGGTCCATGAGCAGAAGGCCTGCCCAGCTCCTGCACCCTGGATGGCATGGCGAGCCCCAGTCTGCAGGCATCTGGCTGCTGGGGCTGCAGAGGCCATGGCTGGGAATCCCTGATCAGTGATGGGTCAGCCCTGGATTTACACTGATGCCTCTCATCTGGCAGAAAAGCCCTTCATCAGTGTCGAGTGGCTCAAGGGACCCGTCCTAGAGGCCACAGCAGGAGATGAACTGGTGAAGCTGCCCGTGAAGCTGGCAGCCTACCCACCGCCGGAGTTCCAATGGTAACAGCCCAGGCCCTCCTCCCCTTGCAATCCTGCCAGACCCAGCTCCAGGATGGACCAGGGGGCCAGAAGGGCAGTGTCCTTCCCCATCAGGACCTGCACCCTGAGGCCTGGGTGCACTCTCGCTGAGGAGACCCCCTAAGCGGCATGCACATAATGTAATATTTCAGCTAGAAGGAAGGCTGGCCTAAATCTCGGCCAAACCGTGAAAGGTTCAAATAGCAGCCTTCTGTTATGGTGGGGGTGGTGGGCACAGCGTGGGGCTTTATCTGACTGCTTCCTGCATCCCCACAACATCTCTGAGGCCCTGCCAGGTCTGAGTAAACTCCAGGGCCTGCCCCACAGCCAGGGTTTCAGATTCCCTAGGCCTCTTTCCAACTAGGTTGCCTCTCCCAGGAACCTCCTATCCAGAAATTTGGCGATGCCACAGGGGTTTGACAAATTGTTATGGAGCCCAGCCCTGGCCTGGTTTCTGAGCTGAGAGGGTGAGGCTTCCCCTGCAGAGTATGCCAGGTGTCAGTGAGGGGACCTTCCCCTGCAGAGTATGCCAGGTGTCAGTGGTGGCTCCACCTTCACCCAGTGCTCCCTGCAGAGGGAGAACACAGCACCTCCCTCCATGTACCCCTGGGCCATCTGGGCCATTCATGTGGCCCCACCATGGTAGGTTACACTCTGGCCTGAGCCCCAGTTCTACAGTTGAAACAATAGAAGCTGAAAAAGGGGAAGAGAATTCCTATTTGAGCCCCAAGCCTCCTGGGGGCAGGGAATCCCTGCTCTGTCCTTTCCCATCTAACCAGAGGAGGCTCACCCTTCCCAGCCTGGAGCCCCTCTCTCCTTACAAGGTGACTTTTTCCGGTGCTGGACAAGGCGAAGCCTCGGGTGTCCTCAGGCACAATCTCGCTGCACTGGCCACAGGCTGGAAGCAGGCTTCTCCTGGGAGAGCCCAAGGGTGTCCTTGGCCTGGGCCTGGTGTGACCCTCCCTCTGAGGTCACAGGTTTTGGGGTCCATCGGGGCACCTTGCCCAGTACCAGGGCCCGTGGGGCAGGGTCCTGAGGGCACTGGTGCGGCCTGGAGCCTCACTCACAGTGTGGCTCCTGGAGACCCCCAGGAGCTCATGCCTTGCCCTCCAAGGCTGGCAGGACTGAGCCTGCTCTAGGCAGCTGGCCAGCTCTGCTGCAGCCAAGGTCCAGCCTGATTCTCAGGCAGCTGGCTGCCTCTCAGCACTATGTTCCCACCAGATCTGCCCCTCCTCTTCTCTCTTGGCCAACACCTGCCCCCAAGGAGTACTCAGCTGGCCTACTATCCACCTGAGACAGCCACCCCAGGGCACTAGTGGTCAGCACAGCCCCACAGGTGCCCAATCTTCGTGTGGCATCATCATGTGAGGACTGTGAGTCAGTGAGTGGATGGAAGTTCTGTGGATAGACAGACAGACAAACATACTGGTCCTCGGCTCTTGAAGCACCCACAGCATGACCAGCATGGCGCTGATACCACCACAGTTAGACCTCACACCTCCTGCAAGGTGCATTTCATTTCCCCAGTTTTCAGATGAGGACACTGAGGCTTGGGGTGGCGAAGGGGTTTGCTAGGGTCACAGGTCTGTCAAGTAGCAGACTCAGGATTCTAGCCCTCTGCATGGGGCCAGGAAGACAGTATGGGCTTGGTTCTGCCCCTGCTCTGCCTCCCCCTGTGACCCCAGCCCAGCCACATCCCTCTCTGAGTCCCTGCTGTGGTGTCACAGTTGACAGCGGTGCCCCCGCATCCCCCTCACTATTGGTCTCTGCCTGAGGGATGTGCCTCTGTCAGGCCACACTGCGGCATCCCTTTGGCTTAGCACACCCTTCCCGGCAGCAGGGAGGCTGGGGGGACACTGGCATCTGCCTGAGGAAGGACTGTTATGGGAGCTCAGTCCCATGAGCTGTATGCCCAGACCTGTGAAGCGAGGAGGGAGCCATGCAGATTCCCATCTACAGGACTGATCATCCAGGCAGAGAGTGCCAGAGAGGGGGGCAGAGAGTGCCAGGCCCGAGGAAGGGGGAACAGCAAGAAGGTAACAGGTCTGGAGAGCTCAAGGAAGGGCAGAGCCAAGTGTCAGAGAGTGAGCCCCACGTGGTCAGGAGCTGGACGGCACCTGCACTGCTTCACAGGCCTGTGAGAAAGAGGACAGGCCCACTGAGGCACTGCAGCTGTCTCAGAAGCCCAAGCCCCGCTGGGGTGGAGACTAAGAAGGTGGGCAGGACCTTCCTGGGCTGGGCCGGGTGAGCCTGGCTGTGGAAGACTGGCCACAGCCACAAGCAGGGTGGAGGCAAAGCAGGTGCCCCAAGCAGTAACATGGTCTCCTCACTGCCTGTGGGAAGAACTCGGAGGTGCTGCCACAGACATCAGCCTGACAGGGTTGTAAGAGCTGGCAGATGGGGCCTGGAGACATCTCCAGAGCCTTTGGGCCATCTGCTCCCCAGACCACAGTCTGCTGCTCCCCCTTCCCAGTCTGGTCCAGGAGGCCCGTTAGGACATAGTACCGGCCTCTCTTCCCGCCTCCCAACATATATTCTGGTTGGAGGGAATGGGAGCGCCAGGACAGGGTCTACATGGCCCCTGAACTCCCTTCCCGGACCAGGTACAAGGACAGCAAGGCAGTGTCTGGGCGCCACAGTCCACACGCCCTCGTGCTCAAAGATGTGACGGAGGCCAGTGCAGGCACCTACACCCTGGCCCTGTGGAACTCCGCGGCCGGACTAAGGCGCAACGTCAGCCTGGAGCTGGTGGTGAACGGTAGGGGATGGGAGAATGGGTGGGATGGAAGAGGGGTCAGATGGGCATGGCATTTGGGGTTCGGCTGACCAGTGGTCTGCCCCTGCCCCCAGTGCCCCCCCACATCCACGAGAAGGAGGCTTCCTCCCCCAGCATCTACTCCCGCCACAGTCACCAGGCCCTCACCTGCACGGCCTATGGGGTGCCCCCGCCTCTCCGTGTTCAGTGGCACTGGCGGCCCTGGACGCCCTGCAAGACCTTTGCCCAGCGCAGCCTGTGAGTGTTGCTCCTCTACTCCACAGCCCCATCCCCACCTTCACCTTTGATGGATCCACTCCCAGTCCCACTGGCCACCTGGGCCTCACCAGTACCCCTCCCGGATCCCTGCTCTAAATTAGAACCCTCTAACCATTTCACCTGTAGCCAGTCTCTGGCCTCACCTTGCCTGAGCAAGGCTCAGACCCTTTCCCCCCCTCCCACCCGAC